AAAAAAAACATTATTTGCAATATTTACCAAAAATCTAATATCCCAAATATAATCAATCAACATAATATTTTTTCGATTATCAATCAATATAATATCTTTTCGAATACTTAATTTCGCAACCATCTAATAATATCATCTGTATTTATTGCTGTGGGTCGAAAATAGGCTTCCTACGTTGACCTCCTGATACGGAGGTCTGGAACGAGATGTATGATCCGGAGTTCTGATCCGGAGGTCCTGAACGGTAGGTATGTTCCGGAGATCTGGAATGAATTCAATCTTTGTTCTTAGTAGTGATCAAATATACATGTACGTTTGATGCATTTGCATTCCGTGAGGAAAAGAGAAGGTTCCCCTTTACATCCGACATTGCACAATGATCCCCTTCGTTGATTTAAAATGCGCCCCCCCTTGCATTCTATTTTTCGTTGGCGTCATCGCCAATCCTAGGTCATCAATTTCACAACGTGGGGAAGGGCTTAAAATGAGCTCGAGCAGGTCTGGAACGGGTATGGAACGGTCTGGAACGAGGTCCGGAGCCAAAATACTCATGTCTGATAGAGTTCTTCCAATCCACCAAACCCATTCGATTCAGTCATATTTCGGCCTCCGAGAGGGGGTCCGGGGCGGAAAAAAATCGCATCTGCAGCGTATATCAACATAAATGGCTCAAAATACCCTAGCATGGTTCCAAGCAAGACCGCGACACCCAGCGAGAGAGAGATCCGGGGTAAGCCCCCTTCCAGATTGAAGGGCCCAAATCTACCGTCTTATTTTCTCCCTGTGTTAGGCTGGCGCCCGGCTATCAGGCGTAAGCCTTTAAATTGAAATACCGCATCGAATTATTTCAACGATCCTATCATCTTTCCAAAAATCCAATAACACCAAAAAGATAACCAATACAAAACAAAATCTAATCTATATACAATGTAAATATTTAGTAATTAAAAATATGTCCTTTAGACAAGTATTAGGGCGTAATTAAGGCCCAAAGTACTAATTACTAGGGCGCGACTAGGCTATTAAGCCTGCTTCAAATTGTACCCTAGCCCATCAATTTCCTTCATCAATATAATTACAATTAAATTAATGTATAAAACATAATTATAGAACAAAGGCTTAAAATATAAATATAAAACAACATCTAAATCGTGGTCTCAAACGAAAATCTAAATCATAGTCTAAAACGAAAAATCGATCCATCAATAATCCATGTAAAAGATTTTAATTCATTGCCATATCATATTTAATATATCTCATTCATAAAACAACATCATTTTTTGAAAAAAAAAAAAATCTAACATAATAAATATATTTAAATATAATCTATTCAATATAAATTCGATAATATCAATATTCCAGACATATTTAGTAAATATAATCCAAAATTAAATCAATATTTCATTATTAATATAATAAATATTATTTATCATTACTAAACAAATTAATAATCATTATATTCCTTATAACCAATAAAATTGTTAAAACATAATATATATCAATAAATACATATCCAAAAAAATATTTATCATTCATCAATATCAATCATATAATATAATTTCAAACAAATCTAAATAACAACAGATATAATTCCAAGATTTCCAATCCTCGAAAATTCAATTCGACCCTTCAAAATATAATCATCGCAACATCCTATAACAAATTATCCTAAATCAAAAACACGAAATGCGACGAATTTCAATATGAAATGCGGCGAAACATATTATATATAATAAAACCTGCGAAGCTGCAAAACGAAAACCAGCGCTTCCCTTTCTCGACAACTGCGCGTCGAAGCAATCAAAGAAGAACCAATTCTGTACGGCCTTCATTTTTGAGGTGGCCTGAACAATGGTTTTAGGGCAGCAAACGCCTGGCCCCAGGCCACCTTGAATTTCGTGTGAAAAAAAAAAAAAAAATCTGTTCCCACATAAATAATTCCCATCCATATTCAGATGAAGCAAAAGCAAAAAAATGCACATTGACCTACATTGACCTTGCACTTGGTTGAATATACGATTGGTTGTCATATAATTGGAAACGCATTCGTTCAAATAGAAAATTTTTAAAACAAAATTCGAGGTGGCCTGGGACCAGAGGCTCGCTGCCCGAAACTATATGTTCAGGCCACCTCAAGAATGAATATATGCAAAATAAGGGTCCTGAAGTGTTTCTGTGATAAGGCTTTTGTTAAAACAGACAATTTTTCAAGCTAAATTCAAGGTGGTCTGAGACCAGGGTTGCTGCCCTAAAACACTCTATTCAGGCCACCTTAAAAAATGAAGGTCTGCGAAGCGAGAGCAAAAGATGCATATTGTTCTTTTGTTACTTAAATGTGGGCTGGTGTTTAATTAAAAATTCAAGACCTCCCAACTATTTCCACCTCTTCGCTTCCTAATCTTCCCAGGGTTCATATAGGGAGCCAGGCCATTCTCAGAATCTTCTAGATTCAAGCTATTCGAATTCCTATTAAAAGATATATGTTCTAGTTGGCGAATATGTCTTCATCCGCTCCAAAAGCATCAAAACATCATCTCCCAGAATTTACATATATCTTTCTCGAGCCATACATGCACAGCAAACCACAATTTTGAAGTCTCGTTCGTTCATTAAATTTGTATAAATGGGTAAGAAATATAACAATATAACATCTATACGGACCCAGGGTAACTACAATTCTATTCCCCAAGTATCGCGCGCATGAAGCTTCAATGCTGTGGTTTTCAAGCTAAATTCAAGACAGCCTAAGATCAGGGTTTGCTATCCTAAAATATTTTATTCCGACCACCTTAAAAATAGAAATCTGCGGAATGAAAACAAAAGATGCGCATTATCCTTTTGCTAAAATTATAATCTTTTGTATATTTAAAAATTCAAGACCTCCCAATTGTTTCCACCTCTTCGCTTACCAATCTTCCTAAAATTCATATAAAGAGCCAGGTCATTTTCAAAAGCTTCTAAATTTCAAATTATTCGAATTCCTATTAAAAGGTATATATTCTAGTTAACGAAAATATTACCACCCATTTCAAAAATATTAATACATTATTTCCTAAAATTTACGTATATTTTTTTTCGAATCATATATACACAACAAAATTTCATCGTGCTTTAAACTTATATAATATTAAAAAAATAACCAAATAATATCTATACGGACCCAAAATAAATTTACAAAATTATACCCATATATAAAGGTTATCGAATAATTTATAAAAATATAATTAAAAATATTATATCTAATAATTATACTATAATTATCCTAAATATCTATACCTAATAAAATACCAATTATACCTTTCCATTTAAATAATATAAATTATATTTCTTATATTATTATTCCTCAAAAATCCCCTCCAACCCAACCTCAAAAAATCTTCCTTCGATCCCCCCTCCTTCCCTAATATATACCGAATTTACGTATACCTTTTACGAGTTATCTCCCCCAAGCCTCCTAATTATTAATTTCGTTCGCCAAACACAACTCAACTAACGCCTTCTACGAAGACTAGCTTTCGTAATACATTATATTTAAAACAAAATATTCTTTAATTCAATTTTTACTTATTTCATATTAAGAATTTTCAAAATATATATTTTAATTTTCGAGATACCAATAATTTTTCTGTATAGGTAATAATTCATTTCTTTGTTGGTCAGCTGCCGGCAGCTTCATCTTCGAAGTCTGAACCATCCTCCTCCTCTGGCCAAAGCGCGTTGCTGGTGCTGTTCCCATCGTGAATTTTGGGAGCCAAATTATGACAACAGTAATTTGAGATCGTTGGACGCCACGCTTTGGAATCTCGCTTCCGCACCACTCTCTGGGTGAATGTTGTGGTCTCCAGCCCCCGCAGCACCTTCGAGGGCTTGGCCTCTCAGCCCTGGCCTCCGCTCCCTCCAAAACGCAAACAGTACCTGTGGCTCTAGCACCATTACGTTCACACATCCCGCCAAGACAGCCGACATTACAGCCTCATCTTTGGCATCCAAAGTTTCCCTTAGGGTTTGCTTGATAGCAAGCGTCACAGGCACGCACCTTGTCAGAATGACAATCGTCTCAAAAAACATGGGACAGGACAAAGGTCTGGCAAACACGCTGCTCGTCACGACCTTCTATGTGCCCCCAGCAAGCTATACTTTGGCATGTGCCCCCAGCAAGCTATACATTGGCACAGTTCTCATGGTTGCATGCTGCTAGTTGCACCTCACAAGAAGTTTTGGTGAGCTTCTCATAGCTTCTCCACGAAGTCCGTCGAAGTCCCGTCAGGAAGGCGTTGTGATGAGAGAAACTGTCTCGAAGTCCCGATGTGCACGTGGGATCTTCCCATCGATGTGCACGTGGAGCAACAAACCCACGCTGAAATTCCATCTCGAGCCACTGGAGCAACAAACCCGGCCGAGGATTGTAGTCCTATTCACTCATTCAACTAAGCCCGAAGGACTATCCAAAACCTCATGTGCTTGAAGTCCTTCTGCACTAGTGGTGCCTGGCGGCCTGCCCAAGACGCAATCCGCTGCTCCATCCTCTGCACTGGTCTTCTGTATCCAAGATATCGCCTGGAGTGTCCTGGTCAGCGATCAACATCTGGCCTGATGCGCAGCCAGCTTGCATTTGGCGAAAGACGGAGCAGCTTGGTTATTGAAGGGACAATTTCAATCCAAGAAACCCTGGAAACCTTCTCAGAACCAATACAGATCATTAAGAAATCTTTTACTGGAGGAGCATCATGAATGACGTGCCCTTATCAACGTGGCAGCGGCAGTGTCATGGTTTTCTTGAAGGCAAAATGCAAGAAACATGCAGGTCCAGTGCTGACCACGGGACCCATCACTCTGGAAAATGGACAAACCACCGCTTTTGACCAGAAGTTCGCACTCCCTGAAAATATCACGCCCACTGCATGTAACCCATATATTCACACTAAACTCAAGCGAACAGCGATGCTGGCTGGCCTCTCTCTCAAGTCTTGGAACCACTCCTCTGTCATCTGGCACATCTGCAGCATTCCATCCACTGCGGCCTCTGTTTGAAGGAATGCAAAAGTGGTCAGAAAGAGCACTCAAAAGACAACCCGTCCCCATGACGGAGATTGGATAAGATATGATAAGATGCCGTGATGGCTAGATAATTAGCATGAATGAGCGCAGCGAGAGTAGCCATGATTTGATTTGACACTCAACGGACTCAACGGACGTTGATGGCTCAAAGCTCAGTCTATAGGGCCTGCAGAGACTGCCCGGCAGCTTGCGCATCCACCTAAAGCTCTCTCGAACGAGTTGCGCAACGTCACACCGTGGCGACGCAGCCTGGAGACTGGTGGATTGTGGCGGCTGCTTCGCCTGGAGACCGTGGCCAGTTATCCTTCTTGTCATTTGAGGGAACCCCCCACCAAACCTGTGCATCCAGGTGGTCTGGAGAAAAACTCACTCGTAGGTCACCAAGGAAGAACTTGTTTCAGGGAAAAAGGGTGCATGTAATGTGCTTGGGAACTCCAACCACTTGGTATCCCAAAGGATCCCACTAGGTACATCAGCATCACTGTCTCTTCATGTCTCTTCTTCCGAATTTGCCATCAAGAAGTGACTTCAGGAAGTGCTTCAGAAAGTAACACCCCACCCTGGCCCTTCCGTCGCATCTGAGACCCACCACCATCTCCTCGCGCATCTTCACCAATTCCTGCCGCATCGCCGCATCAAGCGGCCCGTCTGATCCTCTTAGTCACTCGGTGATGGTCAAAGCAACATCGAACACACCCATGATGCTCTCGCGGATCCTCATCATTACAGTATGTGCTGATTTCGGAAGTCCGTCCGTCTTGGGAGATCGTATTATATCCACCAAAATAGAAGCAGGGAACAGTGCGCCAAGTTCTCAAGCTCATCCATCGCGCAACAGAATCAACGGGACACTTCGGAAGCCGGCTGCCGGGTGCGCATGAATACATAACAAGTACCAAGTACCAAGTCTCTTCAGTAACTTCGGTGCACTAATGAACAGTGACTGCAGATTGAATGCAGTGCTTGCTATAGGTCCCGAACCCACTGACATGTCTTGACTGGGCAAAACTTGGGATCTTCAATTCACGTGCTGCCCGTGGCTGACCGTCAAAACGTCAATTCACCACGCCTGTCACACAAATCCAAACGAAACAACCAATGGCTGAAGCATACTCAATCAACCTTTCAAGTCCTGGTCTGGTCCCTGTCTGCACCTCTTTCCATCCTCCTCCTCCGAGTTCGCCGGCGAGCTCTCCTCCCGGGCTTGCATGGCATCCTGCTCGTAGAGCTTGCTCCGGGCCTCCACCTGGCGGAGGAAGGAGCAGCCACTTCGCAAAACAAACAGAGTATGAGACATGAACTTAGTAAAGTCGAGTGTGAGTAAAATATCAAGAGATGCAGCACATTCATTCAGAATGATTGAAGTATTCAGTTCGGAGTACAATCAGTATGAATGCTTTTGTTGTTCTTTAAACTCATTCAAAGATATTCCAAGGTTCCTTTCCCCAAGTGACCAAAATGGCTCAAAGGGATCAACCCAATCCTGGCCAAATACCACCTGACCATGTGGACCTGGTCAGGGAAGACCTTCCTCCACTTCGGAGCACTGCTTTCCAGCCCTATGCAGCAATTCATGTGGTCACTGCTTTCCAGCCCTATGCATCCATCGTCTCGAAAGCCCATGCCATCGTCTCAGTAGTCCACACGAGACATACGTTCGTTACGTTTCGTTCCACGCCGAGAGGCTCAACGAGATGTGCGGTGAGGAAAGGACCAGAACGCGGGGTTTGGAACAGTCACGAAGTGTCTTTGGACCATATGACCATTCTCTACCTACTAGGTTCAAAAAACTACTAGGGGCTCCTGGCCTTACTACTAGGAGCAAGGACGCTACTCGGGGCTCCTGGCCATACTACTAGGAGCAA